CTCCTCCTTCCATTTCACACCATACACACAGACTCCTTTGTTGTTGTTGTTGTTGTTGTTAACTGCCTTTGTGTTGATCTCATGGCGACCCTATGGATGAGACACCTCCAGCCCCCCTGTCCTCTACTGCTGTGCCCAGCTCCTGCAAACTCACATTTGTGGTCTCTTTAATAAAGTCCATCCATCTAGCATGCGGCCTTCCTCTCTTCCTACTTCCCTCCATCTTTCCTAACATTATTGTCTTTTCCAATGATTCATGTCTTCTCATGATGTGCCCAAAGTATGACAGTCAAAGTCTTGTCATCTTGGCTTCCAGGGATATCTCTGTCTTGATCTGCTCTAGGACCCATTTCTTTGTCCTTTTGGGTGTCCATGGGATCCTCAGCACTCTTCTCCAGCACCACTTCTCAAATGCATTGATTTTCCTCCTATCTTCTTTCTTGACTGTCCAGCTCTCACATACATACATGGTAATAGGGAATAAGATGGCTTGTATGCTTTTTTGCACTAATGTTACTGAGCTGTTTGCTACCAAGGAAGGCTCAGGGTGACCAGATATCTTCCTTTTCCAGGACATGGCTTACATTTCAACCTCCAGTCCCAGAGGAATTCCAAAACATCCTCCTTTTTGGGCATGACTAATGTGGCTTAGTGGTTTGAGTGCTGGACTGCAACTCTGGAGATCAGGGTTTGATTTCTGGCTTGGCCATGAAACCCACTGGGTGACCTTGGGCAAGTCATATGCTCTCAGCCTCAGAGGATGGCAATGGCAAATCCCTTCTGAAGGAACTTGCCAAGAAACCTCCATGATAGGGTTGCCTTAGGGTTCCCATAAGTCAGAAATAATTTGAACAACATTGAGTAGCAACAAGTTTGCTGTTCCCCTTGGAGAAGTGCATCTGCTTGGCAGCCTGTCCTTGCTGCAAACAGAAAGTATAGGACAAGATAATAAATAATATTAAAATAAAAATAACAAAGAGGATAATAAAATACAATATACTGCTATAACTGTAAATAAACTATATGGAATGAATTTACAGTCAGCCCTTGTATCCACAGATTCTTTATTCATGAATTCAAGCATCCACCGCTTGAAAAATATATATATATATATATATATATATATATATATATATATATATATATATTCCCCAAAGAAAACCTTGGTTTTGCCATTTCATATAAGGCACACAATTGTACTATACTATTATATTTAGTGAAACTTGAGCATCCACAGATTTTGGTATCCACAGTGGGTCCAGGAACCACAGAGCTTGAAAACTGGGCAGGCTCACAGTAGCTTGGCACAAGAGCTTGCCAGGAAAAGCAACAACCCATTTTTTGCAGTTTGAATCTCATTCATTCGCCAAAGAAGCCTGTGAGGGAAATCAGTAAAATTTCTCTCTGTCAAAGAGTGCTAGAGCCTCACCAAACTGCAAGTCCCAGGAGTATAGGATGGAGCTATGGCAGGTAAAGTGGTGCCAAACTGCATTATTTCTACAATGTAGCTGAGCTAAAGTGGTGGACACAAAATGGCCCTGGAAATGGATGCAAGCTTAGCTGAAACTATCCACGGGATAAAAGGTTCCCCCCCTATACCCAAGAGAGCCACTATGGTATAGTGGTTTGAGTGCTGGACTGGGACTCTGGGAGATGAGGATTTGAATCCCCACTCAGCCATGGAATTCCAGTAGGTGACCTTGGACAACTCACACTCTCTCAGCCTCAGAGGAAGGCAATGGCAAACTAAAGGTAAATGTAAAAGTATTCCCCATTGACAAGGTTGTCAAGTCGTGATGGTCCTTAGGGGTGGTGATCATCTCCGTTACTAAGCTGAAGAGCCAGCATTGTCAGAGACTACTCTGTGATCATGTGGCCAGCATGATTGCACACAACACTGTTTACCTTCCCAACAAAGTGGTACTTATTTATCTACTTGCATTTGCATGCTTTCGAAGTGCTAGGTTGGCATAAGCTGGGACTAGTGACAGGAGCTCATCCCATCATGCAACACCCGGGCCTTGAACTGCCAGCCTGTCAATCTTGCAATCAACAGAGTCAGCATCTTAACCACTTGAGCCACTGCATCCCTTTAATGGCAAACTGCTTGTGAACAAATCTTGCTGAGAAAACCTAGTGAATGGGTCACCATAAGTCAGAAATGACTTGCACACAACGATGACCCTTCCCCCATTATTTTCCATTATTGTTCCTGCACATTTACATCTCAATATCACACAGCTGTGCAGGGGTTAATTTATTGAAAATAGCTGTTAGGAAGCTGGGGTGGTGGTGGTGGTTTAAAAACAACCCCAAAACAGTTTCCAACAATTAATATACAATATAATTGAAAATTAGATGTGCTAAAAGGCAGAAAATAAATGCACAAGAACTATATGTGGATTGATACGTTTTAGCTCTGTAGCACAGCCTTCACCAACCCAGTATTTCTGGACATGTTGAACTACAAATTCTACTACCAGGCTGGCTGAGAATTGTAAGAATTGTAGTCCAATGAAACAAACAGGCAACAATATTAAAGCAAATGTAAACACATTTACAACACATTTAAAGATAGTTAAAAGCATAAAAGTATAGCCCATTAAAACCCCACCTGTTACATGACCTAAAAGGCCTGCTTACTAAGGGGGGTTGCAGACTGCCAGAAATAGTGCAAATTGAGTCCACTTTTAGGGTTAGGGTTAGTGCTAGGGAATCATGGGAATTGTTTTTTTCCCTCCTGTGACATTGAGCCTTCTCTGTCAGAGAGCTCTGGTGTCACAATAAACTACAGTTCCCATGATTCCCTAACCCTAACCCTAACCCTAACCCTAAAAGTGGACTCAATTTGCACTATTTCTGGCAGTCTGCAACCCCCCCATATTTTAAAAAGTAAATAATCCTTTGCCAGCTGACAGAAAGAGAGCAGGGAGGGCACAACCAAACCTCCCATGGGAAGGAATTCCACAACCTGGGAGCAGCCACTGAGAAGGCTTTCTCCCTGTCCTTACAAAACCTACTTGTGATAGTGATGGGACTGAAAGAAAGAAAGCCCTTCCTTGCAGAGCCTGAAAACTGGGTGGTTCACTGTAGCCTGGCACAAGAGCTTGCCAGGAAAAGTTACATCTTTTGCAGTCTCAATCTCATTCATTCTCCAAAGAAGCCTAATCAATAAAATTCCTAATAAATGAATAGGTCAGTGAGGTTGATCTTAATGACAAGGAGGAAAGATGCAAAGAAGGACAAGCCTCCTGTACCCTTTTAAGGTGCATGGGAAAAAAGAATTTTGGCAGGTGTTTCATGCCATGGCAAGATGTGAGATTCTGCAGGTAACGTTCCCAATTCTCACTGAGGAATGAAGACACCTTCTCCATTGCTTGGGCTACTTTTATCTCCGTTCAACCATAGAAACCCACTGAGCGACCTTGGGGGAGTCATGCTCTCACAGCCTCAGGGGAAGGCAAGGGCAAACTCCCTCCGAACGAATCTTGACAAGAAAATCCTGTGATAGGTTTACCTTAAGGTCACCATAAGTTGGAAGGGACTTGAAGGCACACAACAACAACACACTGGTCTTAGAACACTTTTTAGTTTCAAGTGACAAGGACAAAGATAAGTCCTGCATTCTCATATATCCTATATAATGAATCCTTCTATCTCACTATTGTGTGCCCTTCAGACACATGTCTTTGCCAGCCTTCCTACTGAGATCTTTTAACTGGTAATCCTAATGACTGGATCTACACAGTTGTCTATGAAAAGCCTGTGTTCTTTCTGCCACTAAGCTTTATATGATATTCTGAAATATAGCTAAGTGAGAAATCTGTGTTCTTGTTTAAGGTACCAGTACTAAACTGCTTGCAAGTGCAGTGCAGTGTCTTTAAAATTCAGCTGAGAGGGCTTTTTTGTTGCCAACAATTTCTCTCCATCTCTGGATGTCAGCAGGAGGAGTTAATTCTCTCTTCGTAGTTGTCACTTGCAAGGACAACCCTTGCATGTGATTAGATCGCAATGTCATTACAGGGTGGGCAGGGGGCTGGAGGAGGGCTCCAGGAGCACATGACTAGGAAACGGAAAGTTCGTAATCTAAAATGTGAAATGGGAGCACAGGAGGTACTTGTGTACAGTGTGACATGCTTGCTACCTGACATCATCAGTCTTGTGAGTGTACTGAAATACACTCACACCCTTGTCTGTATTATTTGCTGGACTGGCATTTTCACACTAGACAAGGCTAAAAGCTATGGGCTTGTGTTCACTGGGGAGTAAGCCCTAGTGAACAATGTATGCAGTACACAGTACTTCTGTAGTTCATAGCACTTTCTGCTATAAAAAACACTGGCTAAAGTGCACAAATGCCAGCTGATCCCAAAATGACATGATTTCTTCTTTGACCGTACATTTGATTTGTGCATTTGACCATAGCTTGATGTGCAGAAATCAGTTAGAGTAGCTTTTCATAGTAGGAAAAGTTATTTATTCTGCTGTCCTAGAATACTGTGTCCAGTTCTGGGCACCACAATTCAAGAGGGATATTCGAGAAGGTGGAGCATGTTCAGAGGAGGGCAACCAAAATGGTCAAAGGTCTGGAAACCATGCCCTATGAGGAGGGCTCTTCATTTCTTCCCAGATGGAACTTGTAGTCCAAAACATTTGGAAGGCACAAGGTTAGGAAAGGGAAGTGTAGTAGTTTCTCCAAAGGAGAGACAGTGAGGTGTAGTGGTTTGAGCACTGGACTATGACTCTGCAGATCAGGGTTCAAATCCCCACTCAGTTATAGAACTAAGGGCCTTTACAGACTGCCAGAAATAATGCAGCTTGAGACCATTTTAACTGCCCTGGCTCAGTGCTAGGAAATCATGGGAACTGTAGTTTATTGTGGCACCAGAGCTCTCTGACAGAGAAGGCTCAATGTCTCAGAAAAAAATACAATTTCCATGATTCCCTACCACTGAGCCAGGGCAGTTAAAGCAGACGCAAGCTGCATTATTTCTGGCAGTCTGTAAAGGCCCTAAGTAACCTTGGGCAAGTCACACTTTCTCAGCCTCAGAGGAAGGCAAAGGCAAATTCCGTCTGAACAAATCTTGTCAAGAAAACTCAGCGGCAGGTTCATCTTATGGACACCATATGTCAGAAGCAATTTGAAACACACAACATCCTCCAAATCCCTATGGAACATGAAGTGTCTCCATATTAACACCTTCAGTTAGTTTCCCATCACATTTGATGTAGTTTCAGGTCTCTATACCTATATCTGGAATGGGCAAGGTGAAGTACTGCACAGGTTTTAGAAGCCTAATCCCTATCATTGCCATAGCCAGTCATGAGGAATGATGTGTTAGTCCATAAGAATAGAACAAAAATGCAGAGGCTGGCAATACCTTTGTTAGGACCAACTATAATTCTACAAGTGTGTGTGTCTTTTGAGTACTCCAGGCTACATGGTTAAAATGCGGCCAGGGTCCATGGTTACTTTTATTTTTTCTTTAATACTTCCCAAGTGCTTTGTTCTTTAAAGCTTTGTTTTTCCCTGCATGTGGATAGAATGGAATATTGCTCTCAAAGAATCACCAATCTGAGTTTTCAATACAGTTGTTTCCTCTACACAGATGTCAATAAATTGCCTGCATTTATTTTACAGCAAATCATCTGTTTGCTAATTCATAATCTTTTTCCACACATGTGTGTATATGCAGGAATGAAGGCAAT